ACATTTAGTCACCATAGTAAAGTTTCTCGTAGACAGATGTGGATGACTTGATGGTAAGCTGCTCGCCTGCACCACTGAGAACGTGCTGGGCCTTTTCAGTGGCTTCCTGGTCAGCAGCAAATGGCACTACACTCATTTCCTCGGGTTTCTGAGAACCCTGTGTCCTTGTCACCAAGGCAAGCTTACTTAAACATGTCAAGAAGAAAGTAGTCTTAATGGATGGCCTGTTTTGAACCTGTTTGTCCATTTATCACGTGTCAGACACTGTACCTTACAGTTAGTTGATCAAGACCGAAGGAGGCACAAACAAGGTCCATGTTCTTAGCTTTCCTTCACCATTGCCAGGTTTGTGTAGCTGCATCTTTCTCTCTCTCTCTCACTCTTGTGTCTTTTTTGAGAATTTACTTGAGATTTAGTTTCTGTAGTTTTATTCTGATAAAGCTCTTTTCCTATGTTCTGTATTATTTAATTTGCCTTTCAATTTCTGGTGGGTCATATCAATTACCTTAAATTTCTTGCTACCCCTTCTAATACATTGACATTGTTAAAAGTCTCTGTTGATTTGTGTGAATGAAAAGAAACACAGACCCAGATAACTCAAAACTAATTTGTTTGACTTTGGATTTTAAGATGATTTTGTACCAGATTTGTACTCCCCCTTGGGTTTTATTTAAGCTGCTATTATGATCAGTTGACATTCCTTAAGCATGTACCAGCTGGCTAATGGAATGAATAGGCAGGCCTGAGGAAAATGAGCTAGGGTGGAAAATTGGCTGTGGATAATACACACATGGATCGTTGAAAATTGATCGTGGTTTGTTCCTGTGCCTGGAAAACTATTTGCTTAACGACCTAGTTTTCTTGATCTTCTTTCCATGGAACTTTATATTCTGATATAATGAATTTGTTGTACAAAGAAACTGCTAAGATATTTAAGGAAACAGGTATAAAAATTAGTGTACCAAGAACTAAATTTATATCTGAATAATTGTTCAAGTTCTATATGTACTTAGTTCTTATATGTTCTCCTACTGTTTGCTTTTCTTGTATTTTAATTGTGGTTTACACATCTGTTTAATCATCTCATCGTAAACTATCTTAATTTCACTCACATTGATATTTCATAATCTTTGATAATTTAAGTACAGTATTTAGCCTCTGTGGTAATCTTCAACAGAAACTAGATTTACTATTTCCTTACCCAGAAATTCATTAGCAAGAGTTCCAAAGGAAACAATAGAGGCTACAGTCATAGTAAAACTGCATGACTTTTTCCCTTAGTTCTGATGGTGGTGATACCACTTAAGGTCAGAATACATGATTGCTAGAAATTGTTGTCTTCATATTTAGAAGTAAAGCCCTGGAGGGGGAGCTTATGGAGGATAATTTGGGGTGGGAAGTAGAGAATGAGCAGCATGCTTAGGACAGAATTGTGATCAGTCCTCCTCATTCCTCCCGCCTCTCCAGTTATCAGCCTATCCCGTAGTTACTTTAGAACAAGTGCAGAAGCCGTGGTGCTCTGTTAGGCCTTTCCCCCCACACTGATTTTGTGCCTGTTAATGATAAAGAGAAGTTGATTTTTCCAGGATTTGCTGCACACGTTTGTGGAGGAGAGAGAGCATAATAGAGCAGCTGATACATAGCCTTAAAAACAGGGTCAGTTCTGTTTGCTTTGTTCCTCTTCCTTCTTGATCATTAACAGTGTTATTTTGGGCAACTTAGTCAAGGTCTCTGAATATAACTTTCCTTATCTGAAAACTGGTAGTGATAACTATTATATGTTATGTTCAGATAACACCTAAGTTTACTCCGTAAACGTACAGGTCTCTACCAGCATTAGTTGTTAAACCAGTCACAAATAACCTAACCTGGACATCCTAACCCCAGGAATAGGACAGTGTGTACTGTATGGGCTTTGGACTGTCTCTAAGCCCACTTTCCCGGCAGGAACGTGGCTGCCCGGCCCAAGCTCTGCTCCTCCTTTTATGATCTTTCATCCTGGTCAGTGTGTTTCACCTCAGGTAGTCATTTTCATACATAACACCTTCTTTTCTCTTTGATTATTCGTATGAAACAGAAAGCATCCTTAGTCGTGCCAAGGAAAGTTAACAAGAAGTGTTGGAGAGTTTTAAGTGAAACTGAAACTAAAGAAGAATCAGTATCAAACTTCATAGTTCTTGAAAGTACCAAGAATATGCCTTCTGTGTCTTTGCAAGAATCTTTACTGAGCATTGTTTTCTGCAGATGTATAGCATTGCAACCATATTCTGACTCAAATAGCCTTTTGTAATCTGGTCGACAAAGCTAGGCAAACATTTTAACATACTTTTTATGGGAAAATGCGTTCTTATTTATTTGTAACTGTATATGTTAACATTTTGCTCATCGTTGGAAAACTACTCAAACAAGTTTTTTCTCTAATGATTTTTAACTGTTTTTTTTTGTCAGGAGGTCATGTAAACATGACTGATTATCTGTTTGTATTTAGAAACCACCACAGTAGTTTATGGGAAGGAGAGAATTGTACCTGGAATATTTGTACCCTTTCATTTTTTTACTTACATCTATAAGGATGAAAAAGGATCTCTGTTTTAAAGCTAGATAAATTTTTCATGAACTATGGTATAAGACAAGAGTCCCCAGATCATTTCAATAGACTACATTATTATTATTTGAAAAAGCTAGAAGAAAGATATGTGGTCATCACACGCACTTATCCTTTGTGATGCCACATGTGCTGTGATATCTGACTGAGTCCAGGGCCTAGGAAGGTGCACGTGGCAGTGACCAGCTGATGCTTCCCTTCACTGACCTGTCAGCTGTTCCTCCCAGGATCAAAATGTACCAGGCTGCTGAGTTAACTGAAAAGATATTTTTTGAAGATCTCAAGATTAATAATAAGAGTTTATAAAAATAGATGTTATGGCTCTGCGCCTGTGGCTCAAGTGGCTAAGGCACCAGCCACATACACCTAAGGTGGTGGGTTCGAATCCAGCCCGGGCCCACCAAACAACAATGATGGCTGCAACCAAAAAATAGCCAGGCATTGTGGGCGCCTGTGGTCCCAGCTACTTGGGAGGCAGAGGCAGGAGAATCGCTTGAGCCCAGGAGTTGGAGGTTGCTGTGAGCTGCGATGCCACAGGACTCTACCCAGGGGGATAGCTTAAGGCTCTGTCTCAAAAAAAAAAAAAAAAATAGATGTTATATAAAAACAAGCCAATGTACCTGTTGAAGATGAAGAGGGTAGTAAAGTAGTTTGAAAGCATAAAATTAGGGGCGTGGAGGTAAATACCACGAAAAACAGATAAACAGTGGAAATTATTTTTCAACTAGGTAGAGAAGGATGAGGTAGAAGACTGCTATGTTTTACTGTAAGTTTTTTGAACAATATTTGTCTTTTTAAGCTATGTGCATGTTTTACTTTGATAAAATAAAAATCAATATAAAATAAAAGAGTAAAGTATATATAGTAGTACTATAATAGTGTAATTAAATGTTTATATAGAATCTATGTAATTATTCAGTTTCAAAACTTTGTGATTAGATTTATAGACCTGTCTTTGGATTATATTTGTTATTTGCTGCCAACTTTTTTTGAGACAGAGTCTCACTCTCTTACCCTAGATAGAGTACAGTGGCATCATCATAGCTCACTGTAGCCTCAAACCATAGGACTCAGGTGATCTTCCTGCCTCTGCCTCCTGAGAACTTGGACTATAGGCGTGCACCACATCCAGTTAATTTTTCTAGTTTTAGTAGAGATGAGGTCTCACTCTCACTCAGGCTGGTCTCTCACTCTTGATCTCATGCAATCTTCCCACGCCTCCTCAACCTCCCAGGATGCTAGGGTTACAGGCGTGAGTCTCCGTGCCCGTGCCCAGCCTGTTTCCAGCGTTATGCCTCTTAACTTTATCAGTGTGTCGTAAGTAATGTTCAGGCCAGGGATGATCGTCTTCCTATGTTGCTATTCAGCACACCATGCACAGGATCTTATGCATAGTAAAGTTTTAAACATTGTTGATATATAAGTTTTCTGGGTTTTTACTTCTTTTTAAAAATTGCACAAATAATACATGTTCATTGTAGAAAAAATAGAAAATGCAGAGAAGCAAAAAAATATCACCTCAAAACTAATTATACCATTTTGATAACATCACTACAAATGTTTTTCTATGCAATAGGCACTTGTAAATAAATTTAGGATTATCTGATATACACACAACCAGCTTTACATACTGAACATGTTCTGAATGTCTTTCTGTGCCAAGTATTCATTTGTATTCATTTTTAATGACTGCTCATCTTTCACTTGTATGCATATGCCATGATTAACTAATCTTTTATTGCCAAATATTTAAGTTTTTACTCTTTTTCTGTAGTTGTTCACAAGTTGTTTAATGAGGATCCTTACACATACAGTTTTCCATGCTTATTCAAATATTTTCTTAGGAAAAGCAGGACTTTTAGGTCACCTAGTATATACTATTCTTAAAACTCTTTGTCTTGTTGCCACATTGTCCTCCAGAAATGTTATATCAGCTTTAGTCCCCGTTAGTTAAGAAGAGAATTATCTATTTCATTTATAGAGAGTATCCATAAGGGCAGGAACACTTGTCTTTGTTGGGTTAAGTCTCTTTGAATTGTAGTGAATTTGAACATTTACAATGTAGACATATTTGGCCAGTCATGTCTTTTGGGTATTATTCAAAATTTAATAAGAAAAAAATGGTATTCTTATATTAAAAATGTATAATTTAACAGTCTCATTGCAAGTACTTTTTAGTGTTTTTTCTTTTGTTTTTTTTTCAGTGTTTCTTCCCTTTATATAAAAATTTCTTTTAATTTTTGTGTTCAAAACTGTCAACCATCTAAAAGAATTTTGCCCCAGCAACCATGCTTCAAAAGTCTGTTCCTTTCCCAAGATCGTATGTCTGGAATGAATTGATTCTCAGAACCTAGTGGGATGACTACCTCTCAAATTTCTTCCTTTTTCCCATCAGGAAAGCAATAGAAGAACTGCTTAAGGAGGCAAAGCGTGGGAAGACAAGAGCAGAAACAATGGGGCCTATGGGTTGGTAAGTTCTTGAGCAATCTTCCTTAAAACTTAAAAAAAATTAAAGAGGCTGGAGTTAGAAATATGCAAATCTTTAGCATATAGAAGAAATGTTAAACTGTAGATATAGAGGAAATCACCCAGAGGCAAGTGTGGAGTAGAAAAATGGCTGAGAACAAAATGGCGAAGAACTGTAAGAATGTGCCGGAGCAGGCTGCAAGAGGAAGCAAATCCCAGTTACCTCCAGACAGGGGAGAGGGTCAGTGGCTTCCCTCCCAGGGGGTACAGTGTAAGTCCCTGGGTGCAGGACACAACTACAGCTCTGATTGTTATCTGTCCTGTAAATGTATAACTTAATGCTTTGTACCCTCATATTAATCTAAAATTAAAAAAAAATTAAAACTCACAAAACACATAAAAAAAAGCTGGGTGCATATAATTACCGACTGTAGTGATATGCATGTATACGTTTTCCTTCTTGACTTTCATAAGTATAGTTCCTTCTTGATGAATAGGGTTCATCTGTTCATAACTATTACACTGATTTGACTGTCATCCATATACCTGAGTATGCTTACAAAAATAATGTGTGTTATTATTGCCTATTTTATTGTGTCCTGTGAAGTGTTCTGTCATGTTTTATATGTTTCTCAAATAAATCCTCTTTTAAAATGTAAAAAAAAAAAAAAAAAAAAAAAAGGTGGGCTATGGGTGTGTAAGGAGGATAGCATTATGGTTCTGTCATATTTTTGATTCACAAGTCCCCCCAAAATATGTAGATATTATAGTGCCCAAAGGCACCTGTGCAAAAGTAATATTATTTCAGTGTTTCTCACTTAAGAATTTCTGTTTGGGGCCAGGAGAGGTGGCTCCCACCTGTAATCTTAGTGCTTTGGGAGGTTAGGGTGGGAAGACCACTTGAGAACAGGAATTCAAGACCTGTCTGGGCAATGGCGAGACCCCATCTGTGCAAAAAATTTAAAAATTATCTGAGTATGGTGCATGCCTATAATCCCAGCTACTTGGGAGGGTGAAGTAGGAGGATGGCTTGAGCTGGGGAGTTTGAGATTGGAATGAGCTATGATGACACCACTACACTACAGCCAGCTGACCCTGTAAAAAAATAAAAAAGAAAGAAAATAAGAATTATGTTTTCTTAAAAGTCCTTAGTAAATTAAAGTTTATTTTAGAAAATTAACTAAGTATTTTGGTTATGTGACAATTTAGCCATGTAGAACTAAAGTTTACCTTTATAGTTTCTGTACAAGATAAGTTTATTAAAACTTAATAACATAAACAAAAGAAAATTTTAAGCTTAGGAATTAACTTTACTCTTTTAGGCACTACTTTAGCAATAGCATTTGCATTCAGTAACTATCCCTATTTTGGATCTTTTATCTACAATTAAAAGTTCACTACAGTGGATATAAAATAGGAATAAGAGTAGAAGCTAGACTTTTGAACACATCTCATTTTGTAGATTTGACTTTTAGAACCATAAACTTGGTTTACATAAAATACAAAATAAAATTAAATGAAAATACAGGGAAAAAGAAATCCCTAAAAATCAAGTAAAATGAATAAATGGACCTAAACAAGCCATTGAGTGGATAGCTTAGCCACTTAGAAAGAAACCGTTTCAAGTGATCTGAAATTGAGTGTATTTCCAAAAGACAAGTTATCATATTATCAGGAATGATATTGGTATTACTAGTCCAAAAGTATTATATTCTAGGATAAAATAAATATTTTCTATATGTAAATACCAAGGCTTTTAGTGTAAACAAGATACAAATATTAAATCAAAGAAGTAAAACCTACTTGTAATCCTGAATTTGAATAGGAAATATTGATACGAAGTTCTTTTACACTTTTTCTTTAAAAAAAAAAAAAGAGAGAGAGAGAGAGAAAGTTTTTTCTAGCTCTACTCACAGAAACTAAATCCTAGCAATAATAACCACCCATCCAGTGGCCTTGAATAGGCCTAGTACTCAGATTGTATTATGTAAACACCATTTCTCACTGAAAGGAGCAGGTATCCTTAGAGTAATAACTGATTACAGAAGAAAGCCAGGTTATACAGTCAACATGAAATATAGGACAAGGCCTGGCAAGGTGGTTCACACCTGTAATCCTCGCACTTTGAGGGGCTGAGGTGGATGGATTGCTTGAGCTTGCAAGAGACCCCATCTCTACTAAAAATAGAAAAAGTAGCTAGACATCGTGACAGGTGCCTATAATCCCAGCTACCTGAGAGGTGCAGGCAAGAGGATTGCTTGAGCCCAGGAATTTGAGGTTTCTGTGAGCTATGATGCCACAGCATTCTAGCCAGGGTACTGAATGAGGCTTTGTCTTAAAAATAGAAAAGAAAAGAAAAAACTATAATGATTGAAACACCTAATATTTATTAAATCCATAAGGTCATAATGCTACCCACCATGACAAACCTAGTAGTCATGGAGAATGCTAGGGAACCATGAGGAAGAATTAGGCATTGCAGAAAGATTAGGAAATGATTGTCATCATTTGAATTCCTAACAACTCAATAATAAGATAAATAATCCAATTTAAAAATGGACAAAAAGGCCAGGGTCAGTGGCTCACACCTATAATCCTAGCACTCTGGAAGGCCAAGGTGGTTGGATTACCTGAGCTCAGAAGTTCAAGACCAGCCTGAGCAAAAGCAAGACACCCCCGTCTCTACTAAAAATAGAAAAAACTAGCTAGGCATTGTGAGAGATGCCTGTAGTTCCAGCTACCTGGGAGGGTGAGGCAAGGGGATTGCTTGAACCCAAGAGTTTGAGGTTGTTATGAGCTAAGACACCACAGCACTCTATCCAGGGCACAGAATAAGACTGTGTCTCAAAAAAAAAAAAAAAAAAAAAATAGACAAAAAGTTTAAATAGACACTTAGCCTAAGAAAATACAGGATTGGCCAATAAACATATGAAAGAATGCTCAAATCATTAGTTATCAGGAAAATACAAATAAAAATCACAATTAGTTACCATTACACATGCCCTAGAATGGTGAAAATTAAAGAATAACAGCAAATAAAGATAATGATGTAGAGCAAGTAAAATTTACACATTGTTGATAGAAACATAATACAGCCACTCTGAAAGCCAGGTAACGGTTTCTTTCTTTCTTTTTTAGAGATAGAGTCTCACTCTATCGCCCTTGGGAGATTGCCATGGCATCACAGCTCACAGCAACCTCCAGCTCTTGGGCTTAGGTGATTCTCTTGCCTCAGCCTCCTAAATAGCTGGGGCCACAAATGGCTGCCACAACGCCCTGATATTTTTTTGTTGCAGTTTGGGCAAAGCCAGATTCCAACCCGCCACCTTCGGTATATGGGGCTGGCGCCCTACTCACTAAACCACAGGTGCCGCCCAGGTGACAGTTTCTTATAAATATACACTTATGTACAGAATCCTCCTTCTAACAAATTGCCAAAGAGAATTGAAATCTTAAATCCACACAAAATCTGTCATGTTCATAGCAGCTTTATCCATAATAGCCCAAAACTGGAAACAACCCAAATGCCCATCAATTGGTGAGTGGATAAATAAATTGTGGTTGTTTCCATAAATGCAGTGCTACTCAACAATAAAAAGAAACAGAACTACTGTTACACACTGCATGAATGAATCTCAAAAGCATTATGCTAAGTGAAAGAAACCAGACACAAAACATTACGCAGTGTTTGATTTCATTTATATAGAATTCTAGAAAAGGCAAAAGTGTAGGGATAGGAAGCAGATCACTGGTTGCCAAGAGCTGGGAGTGGGAGAAAGGGATCTACTGCAGAACTTTTGAGTGATAGGATGTTTTATATCTTGATTGTGGTGATGGTTACCTGAACATCATGCATTTGTTAAAAACCACAAAGCCATTTAGTTGAAAGGATAAGTTTTATTCTATATAATTTATACCTTGTGAAGCTGATTTTTTTTTTTTAAAAAGGATGTTATTTCGGGGCAGTGCCTGTGGCTCAAGGAGTAGGGCGCCAGCCCTATATGCCAGAGGTGGCAGGTTCATACCCAGCCCCCACTTAAAAAAAAAAAAAAAAAAAAAAAAAAGGATGTTATTTCCATTTCACCATAGCCCCAAAGAAAATGAAATACCTAGGAATATACCTAACAAAAGAGGTAAAGGACCTCTATAAAGAAAATCATGAAACCCTAAGAAAGGAAATAGCAGAGGACTTTAATAAATGGCAGAACCTACCATGGTCATGGCTGGGAAGAATCAACATTGTTAAAATGCCTATACTTCCCAAAGCAATCTACCAATTCAATGCCATCCCTATTAAAATGCCAACATCATATTTTGAAGACTTGGAAAAAATGATTCTGCGTTTTGTACAGCATGGTACTGGCACAAAAATAGAGACATAGACATTTGGAATGGAATAGAAAACCAGGAAATGAAACCAACAACTTACAACCCCCCAATCTTCGATAAACTAAACAAGAACGTACACTGGGGGAAAGACTCCCTAAATAGTGCTGGGAGAACTGGATATCCACATGTAAAAGACTGAAACTGGACCCGCACCTTTCTCCACTCACAAAAATTGATTCAAGATGGATAAAGGACTTAAATTTAAGGCATGAAACGATAAAAATCCTTAAAGAAAGCATAGAAAAAACACTGGAAGATATCGGCCTGGGGAAAGACTTTATGAGGAAGACTCCCATGGCAATAGCAACAACAGCAATAATAAACAAATGGGATTTTTTTTTTTTTTGAGAGCCTCAAACTGTCGTCCTGGGTAGAGTGCTGTGGCATTATAGCTCACAGCAACCTCCAACTCCTAGCCTCAAGCAATTCTCCTGCCTCTGCCTCCCAAGTAGCTGGGACCACAGGCATCTGCCACACCGCCTGGCAATTTTTTGGTTGCAGCTGTCATTGTTGTTTGGCCAGCCCAGGCTGGATCCGAACATGCCAGCTCAGGTGTATGTGGCTGGCGCCTTAGCCACTTGAGCCATAGACGCCAAGCCAAATGGGATTTAATTA